GCCCTCCGCAGGAAGAAGCGCGGCTGGGGGTTTGTCCGCAGGGAAGCCTTGCGGTCCCGCTGCGGAACGAGCACGGAGAAAGCCGCTGGGGGAAGCTTTTGGGGTGGCGGTGGCCAGCTCGTTCTGCTTCCCGTGGGGATACGCCACGAAAGTCACTGAGCTCAGAGTCAGCAGTTGAAATTCAGGGCAGCGGCACGAGGTTGCGCCAAGGAGCGCGCGTTAGGAGAGTCATGCTGGCGGGGAGATTGGCTGGGCTCTGGGACAATTTTCCAGCGGGGAAGTGGTGGAACGGGTATTGCGAGGGGAATCTAAAACTGTGCTGGCTGCTGCGCTGCTGATAGTACAGTGCTGGGTCATCAGCGAGATGACTGCTTATTTACAGCAATGTTTGCAAGCCGCAGTCATAAGTCAGACTTCTCATGTGCTAGATGCTGTTCAGAAAGTACAACAAAATGTAATTCCCTGTGCTGCTGCACTTGACTGCCCTTGATGTGTCTTCTCTTCCTCTGCTTTTTTGGCTCTGTGTGAATCAAGCAGTATGCTTACCTTGAAATTGTTCTGAATAAGCCAGATTGGACTAATAGCAGTCTTTCTTCACCTCTCTAGACCTCAAGATGACTTCCATGCTGACCCATATCATCAGAAACCTCCCTGCTTCCTCAGCATGGGCTGCCAGGGTCTGTAAGTATCTTTATGTTCATTAGAGACTTGAACTGGTAGGTCATAAAGTTCTCTTTGTTTTAAGCATTACGTTTGGCAGGGACACTTTTGTCTGAATCTCTGTTACGTTATGGGTTTTTTTTTTTTAAACAACTAATTCTGTTGTTGACGTATTTGTTGTTTCCCAGATCTCCCAATATGGGAGGAATCTCATGTTAACTGGTAATATGTACTATGTTGTTTTTATGAACACAGTAACTTAAAAAAAAAAAACCTTGCAGATGTTCAGGTGCACTTGTATTGGGACTTCTTTTTTTTTTAACGTTTCTTACAAAAATAAATAGAAATGTTTTTATAATTATAATTTGATAAATGCTCCTTTTGTGGTTCTTGTTTTTCAGCTGCAAGATCACTCAGCTGCTCTTCACAGTTACAGGCAGCAGGTAAAGTGAAAGCTTCAGTGGGTTTCTATTAGAGACTATTTTTGAAGCTGCCTCCCTTTTCCAGATACTCATTCTACATAGATCTCAGAAACACAAGGCAGACTTCGTTAATTCTAGAGGGCCCTTCTAAAGTTGCAAAAAAGTAAAGCTACAGGCAAAACAGTGTTTCCAATAAAGAGTCCTCTAAACATCTGAATCTCCCTCACCCCCAACAACTGTGCCTGGTCTGAAGCTCGTGCCACATTGTCACCTGATAGATTGCTATTTCTAGGATCCTAGACAGAGAGGCTAAGCTAGGAGGTTATAAGCTGTCTAGTTATAACCAAGTCTCTTGCCCAGGAGGGGTGGAGGTTGCCCCTGACTAAGAGAGGCTTGTGGAATTAGCTCAAAGGTCCAGTAAGACCTATGAGAGGCTCAGGTCTCAGTAGAGCGGCTTAGTGTGCACAATTACATTGATTGTTAGATGTGTGTGTTTTTAAGCCGTTTGGGTAGTGTGGGGTTCTGGGATGTGTTCTGGGGTCACTCAGGTGACTGTGATGCTTTGAGCTGCCTGGATTGCAGAAAGACAGCAGCCCCCGCTTGTCTCCTTAGCTTCATCTGGAGAACCCTCTTCTATGACTCAAGTTTAGTGCTGGAGTTTCATACTTGTGCTTTCACTTGCTTGAGCACAGTATTTAGCTGGATTTAATCTGCTTTTACATGCCTTTTCCTTTTCTGGCTTGTAAATGCAGCTGCCTCATGCTGCTGTGTCTGCTGGTTAAGAATTGTAAACCTGACTGCATTAGGAAATTCTCATTGAGCTCCTTGTTAATCATCTCTCTAGAACAGCACTGACAGTGGCGTATTAAATGATGCTGTATCATGGCGTTGCTTTGTCTCAAACCTGAGATACTCCCAGGCATTATGAGGGAGTAGCAAGCTACCCACAACAGCTTTGTGCCCTCTTTTTGCTAGTACTTTCCTATGGAAGTGAAAGTTAGTTGACTTCTTGCACTGTGTTTTTATTTACTCTGAATTATCTCACCTTTGCTGTGCAATAGGAGCACATAAGTGAGCAATTGCTATGGAAGGTGGATTGTTTCCAGTCCTTGTTGCTTCCCGAGTGAAAGACTTTGAGGTCTTACCCTGGTTGCTCGTCTTTGAATTTGGTCCGCCTCATTTATATCCTAAGTCATTCAGCATTCTTGGAGGTGTCTTTTCCTGTGATATTTTTGTCAGTAGTAATGGAGTTTGAGGATTATGTTCCTTTATTCTGAGCTGTGCCATTGCCTCGATATAGCTATGGATGAATCTCTCTGCTGATGAGGGAAGCTGAAATTCTGTGTTGTTAAACCATTTTTCACAAACGGCATGCTCAACCAGACAGGGACAAGATTTTGCCTCGCATCTCCTACCTACTCTACTTTTGTCTTATGCACCAAAGGGGACTCTTTCCTGAGTTTTCTAGTAGCTCTAACAGGATCTGGCTTTAAGCTTGCTCATATTCTTGGCAATAATTACTTAAACTTCTCTCTAAGCAGTCCAGCCGAAGAGTAAGAAGACATTAGCCAAAAGTGGCGTGAAGAATATTGTTGTGGTAGAGGGTGTCCGTATTCCATTTTTGCAGTCTGGCACCTCGTAAGTATAAAATAATAAGAAAATACTTTGACTGGGTTAATAGTAGAATCTTTTGGTGAAAAATGTGGAATATGGTTTGCTATGTTGATTTCAATATAGTTACTTTTGTACATAAAAATACTAAGATGGCAAAGTTAGGCTGCTGACAGTTTTTCCAGCTTATATTATGAAAAAACGTGGCTTGAAGAAGATTGGCCATGAATATGAATTCAAAGGAGAATGCAGATTTGTGCTGCACATCTGGAGGAGCCCATTGATGCCCCTGTAGCAGATAAAGCAAAGCGTTTCACAAAACTAGCAGGACAGGGGCGGAGAATCTGCTGCAGACTCTTCTTATTAGATTATTATACCACCAAAATCACAGCTAAATTAGGACCAGAAGGAATATCTTTATTCTATTACTGTTGCTTTTCAGTGCTTTAGTATAGTGAACGTATGCTGACTTACACCTAGATAGTCTTTGTAACCGCAGCTATGAAATGTTTGCTTATGAATGCACTGTCCCTGTGATTCAGAGCATTTCTGGTGTCTTCACCAGTTCTGTGCTGCTGGTGTGCACTTACAGTGAAGAAGACGCCTGCGTTGGTTTCTGACACTAAGTTTCTGCCTCTCTCCTTGAACTTCCAGGTATGCGGATCTTATGCCACATGACTTAGCCAGAGCAGCATTGCAGTAAGTAAATGGACTGTCAGAAGAGCCCAAAAAATTGTCTTCTGCTGGACTCCAGGGTGCTGGTACAGTGACTTCAGCTAAGCTGAGAGCCAAGGTTCTAGTTTTGTTGCTAAACAATACGATCCAAGTGATTCATTTTTCGTGGTCTGCCACTGCCTTAGTAGGGGGTTCAATCAGTAGAGCGTACAATAGACTCGTGCAAAAGAGTATTGTTAAAAGGAGATTGCATTGTTGTGTTGTTTGACTTAATTTCACTTGATTTGGATTCTGACTGTGTATGGTTTTCTAATACAGAGGTCATAGCTACTATCTCAGTGTGCCTAAAGTTCAAGACAGAGACATCTAAGTGACATGGTGATTCAAAGACAACTAAGTGAGACGGAGAGTAACAAGCTAATTCTGTTGTCTTGCACGTTGCTTCCATCCTGCTGTGATTTGACAAGAGCTGTAGGTCACTAGCCGTGTTTTTTTAATTAAGAAACAGGGCAAAAACAGGACATGCTGTCGAGAAGAGTACTGTTGACAAGGCATGACTTGGGGGGCATGGAGATTTCAAGTCACAAGGAAGGATTGTGAGGTGTGGGGTTGGGTGCAGTCGTGCCAAATCTGAATGTCATCTTTGGGGAGCCAGAGGAAGGCCAATTAGGTTGACATGCAGTGTGTCAAGTGTGTGAGGGCTGTGCCACAGAGATTGAAGGCTGAGGTGGTTTTAGTGCACTGCTGGAGAGGAGGTCTTTATTGAGATGTTTTTACTTTTGTTTGGTGTTTTTGTAATGCATGAAACTACATTTGAATCGCACTAGCCTTAATGAATACCCCCAATGGGATTTGCTGTCTTAGCGTATTTGCCAAGATGTTTTGGCAAATGGTGTGATATGTTTTCTAATGAACTGTGAAAACTTAACTGCTCATTTTCTGTGTGTCTTTATGAGACTAATACATGTTCCTACACCGAAGGTAATCGGCTTTGTTATCCCTAAGCCCTTATTCCTTTAATTTTGATATCAGAATGCTCTGAGTTAGGGAAGGTATTAACAGCCGCTTCTCTGAGGAAAGAAGAGTAACTGCTTTCATGAAACTATCTGTGTAGTCATTTATATAGTGATATTATTGCTATGATTATTTGCAGTCTATAGTCATTTGCATCTTTCATCAAGTATATGTGCGTGAAAGATTTCTTCTGAATTAGGGATACAACACGTAGCTCTGTTGTTGCCTTGGTTCTCTGGCCCAGCTGGTAGAAGATGGATGTTTGAAAACCGTGGTGAGGTTATTGCTTACCTGGTACGAATTCTGTTTGTTTCTCTCTTCTCAGAGGGTTGTTGAATCGGACCAGTGTCCCAAAAGATGCTGTTGATTACATTGTTTACGGCACAGTTATCCAGGAAGTGAAAACAAGTAATGTTGCCAGAGAGGTGGGTTATGTGCAGCATTTCTCCTGTAAGCCTGATTTAAGCAGCTAGCATAAAGATAACAAAACCTTATAATCTATTTTTGCAGTTCGTTTGGGAATATAAGCTAGTTGAGCAGTGAAAGATAATCTATTTTTGCAGTTCGTTTAAACATGGTTTGGGAATATAAGCTAGTTGAGCAGTAGTATTGTCCATAAAATAGCTGTGTGGGACTCTGCCTCCTCTTGAAATCTACCAGAGATTAAGTTTATTTTGATGCTGTGAAGCTTGATTCTTCCCTTAAAGGGGAGCTTTTATTAATGATTAGCAAACATTGTTAATGATTGCTGATCACTCAACTCTTACTGCCGGTTGGACTTGAATGCTGGCTTGCCAGAAGTACTTGAGAGGATCCGAGCATGCTGTGATACGTTTCTATATTGTGGTATTTATTTATTTTAGTTGGCTGATCAAATGCAGCGTTTGAATGATTTGAAACGTAGTCGCTTGGCTGCCCTTTCTTCTGGCAGGCAAAAAACCACAGTTCATATCTTGCACAGAGAAAGAACCTGCTCCACTAAAGTAATGTTATGGAGATGACATGTGATTTTTCTGTAGTCTGAAGCCTTTCCTGATATTCCTTGCAACCACCCAAAAGTGTTACGAGCATTACGTAACCCGTCGTGGAAAGACTTACGAGGTGATCAGTAACTCCAATTCCGTTGGCAGCTTTATCCTTGTATGTGCAAATACTTGCTTTGGTCACATGCCAGTCAGATGAAGCTGTGGTTTAATTTTAACCTGGGAAGAACTGTTGAACTTTAAACTAGTTGGCCATGTCTCAACTAGGGAAGGTCCTCCTGCAGGCAGTTCTCCTGTGATGGGAGCCTGTGCTCTCAGCTGGGTCAAATGACACACTTCTTTCTGGCGAGTTTGAACTACAGGAAGTGTTTTCTGTTCTGTTCAGAGCAAGTCACAGTGCCTTGTACTCAGAGGTCTATCTAAATAATTCTTTTTGTGTGCTGCCTTTGCAAATAAGGGGAAGCAAGAACAATGTGTGTTTGAAAGCTCTTTTTGGAATCGTGATGTTGATGTGTGTAATTAATTTGTCCCTTTATTAATGGGAAAGGCTGGTGGTTGTCCCCAGAACTTGCTTGAGAGCCTGGACAGGTGGGCAGCTGCCCTCTCCTCCTGTTTCTGGAGTGCATCCGGGGAGGGGGGGATGCAATAATTGGTTGGATGGAAACTTGATGCACTTGTTTTCAGCTTAGTCTGCAAAGGTGTGTTACTGGGCAGAAGGCAGCTCTAGCCCCATGGGGGCAGAGGCATAGGTTTAACAGTCGTTCTTTATGCTCGTAGGCTGCCTTGGGAGCTGGTTTCTCTGACAAAACTCCAGCCCACACAGTCACTATGGCTTGCATTTCTTCAAACCAGGCTATTACCACAGGTATGTTGGCTGGAAGAACAAGTTGCGTTTTTGAAAGCTAAGCATCCAAAGAAATTCTGGGATGGAAGGGAAAAGTTTTTGAACCAACAAAATATAGCACAAACTGAGTATCTGCTATAGGCCTGCCAGCAGCTTGACACCATTTGCATTCAGCAGTAGTCTCTGTTCAGTGTCCGTGTTAGTTTGAGAGGTATAGACTCAAGCTCGATAAGGAAGTTGCTGCCTTTTAGGCAGGCTCCTGTCATCTTTGATTTAGCCTAAATTGAGTGAAAAATTGAGACTCAGTTACTATCCTGAATCACTAGGGAGACTGTTCTTCCACCTGCCATGTGTGACAAAGAGAAGCGGAGGTAAAATTGCAGAGCTAGTATGAGTCAGAAAATGTCTGTTCAGTCTGCTCAGTCTCTGTTTAGCCTGTGTTGTGTAACTTGGCTAAAGCTAGAGGCTGGAGGAGGAAACAAAATGCAGTAACATCCAAGGACATCTGCTGATACTAATGTGGTAAGTGTTACTTCTCCCTGCAGTTTTCATGGGAAATTGTCTCGTTCTGTAGGTGTGGGTATGATTGCAGCTGGCCAGTGTGATGTCGTCGTAGCGGGGGGTGTGGAGTTAATGTCGGATATTCCCATTCGTCACAGTAGGAAGATGAGGAAGACTATGCTCACGCTTAACAAAGCCAAGACTTTGGGCCAGAAGCTCTCTCTGATTTCCAAAATTCGGCCTGACTACTTTGCTCCTGAGGTAATTTTTTTAGGCATTTAGCTATTTGAGCTGAACTGTTCTATAAGGAGGTGCAAAATGAGTTATCTCACTAACAAGCTTAAAAGGATTTTAAAAGGGGTGAGATGGCTTTCTGTGGCTCACCTTTATTGGATCTCTGTCATCCAGTGCTTTAGGTTAGAAGTGCAACTGATTCATGCAACTTCTGTACCATTCCTGAATCTCTCCTTTATTTTAATTTGTTTTCTTACGTGTTGGTCTTCAATAAGCCTAACTTGTCTCAAGATTTCAAAATGCGCGCCTCTTTCTGCAACTCCTAGCCCAAATGTATGCTGGAGACTCTACAAGTAGAAGCATTTTTTCATCAAATAAAGCTTTTGCAAGAGTCCTAAAGGATCAAAGGAATTTTTGTTTCCTAAATAGTAGAAGTACCGCACTTAATATACTGAGGATATGTTCCTCTCTGATATTGAAGTAAAAGTAACTGTTGTTTGATTCATGCATCTGAAACAGGCGTTATGATGGCTCTTCCTGGCCAAATCCTGCCAGGTACTGAATGGGTTCAGCTCCCACATGTGGGCTGCGATGAGAACTGGCAGTCTTCTGGTTAATGTCAGGAGTTTGCTATAGAGGGAGCTACTCTTCTCTGTCTTTGAGATCATGAGAAAGGTGAACCATGAAACGATGGAGATGGGAAGGAGAAGCGTTCCCTCCTTCACTATCAGTGAGTGAACTGAGCTCGTCGTGAGAAACTGTGCATTCGTGCTGCTGATGGCCTCCTTTAGCTTGAGTGCCGGGATGCACAGAAGTGCAGCGTACGTATAGCCGAGATGAGATCAAGTCCAAATAAGTTATGGAAATTGCAGACTTAAATGCATGCAGGAATTCCCTATGTGCTGCTGGAAAAATAAAAGCTCAGCTGAACATGGTAGCAACTAAGTTCACTCAGCAGCTGCCCTGCTGTCTCTTGTTTTGCTTGAGGAGGTCTTTGGCATGGATTTTTAAGGTCATAGGATGTGTTGTTTCACCTTGACCCAATAAGTCTAGTCACCCTTGATAGCGGAGTCTGTAGCCTCCATATTAAATTCAGAGGGCAGCTGCTCTTCGTTCCCTGTGTGCAACTCCAATACAGTTCTTGAGTCCCTGGGGCAAGCAGCAGTGTGGATCTCATTTTATCCATCATATGCTTTAAAAGTGACAGCTCCTCTAATACATTTGATTGGGTGGATTCTGGTGTGTTACCACGTGTTATTTGTGTAAACAGTAAGTGCTCTATTTAGTGGAAGGACCTCATTGACTGATTATATAGGGCTTAACCGACTTCTGAACTTTAATCATGTTTCTTAACTGCCTGTAACTGCTGCGGGGACAGGTGTTTATGTACGCTGACTTTACTTTTCCCTTGTGTAGCTACCAGGTGTGACAGAGTTCTCCACCAACGAGACTATGGGCCACTCTGCCGATCGTTTGGCTGCTGCTTTTGAAATCTCCCGTGTGGAGCAAGATGAGTATGCCTTCCGTTCACACACGCTAGCCAAGAAAGCCCAGGATGAGGGCTTGTTAGTCGATGTGGTACCCTTCAAAGTGCCAGGTAAAACCGCAAGTGTTTTGTAGCTAGCATGTGGTAGTTCAATAAAGAAATGTTTTATGTAAAAAAGGAGAGGAAGAGCTGGGCTCGGGTTCATAGTTTTCTGTGCATCTCAGTTATGGATTTTAACTCTTTGATACGCAGCCTATTTCTTCCTGAAGAAATACTATCTAAGACCATGTTTCTAAACTGTTCTTGCATGTCTAAATCGTGTAGTACCCATCTCCTCTCCCTGCTAATGTGTCGAGAGAGCAAGGAAAATTGGAACTGTTTGACGAAGAATCCCTCTGCTCTTTGAGTCATACAAGAGAACCAATTTTTATACCCTCAACTATTAGCGGCACATAGTAAGCCTAATTAAATCCTGGTTGAATAAATCAGGAGCTGATTTGGAAGACCTGAAATGTGATTCACTTGGAAGACTCCAGGTCACTCGGCAACATGGTCATTGCTCAAATATGAAACAGTTTGGGGACAAATTTTAAACTACCCCTTCTTTGGACTGATTTCCACCCTCATCCTCCGATCAGCCAATGGGAGGGCTTTGGTCTACCTAGTTGTTTTTACTTCGTAGTTAGTTTCCTAAAGAGACCTTACCTATAGATCCACAGTTACATGGCCTTTAAGCTAAAATTGATACTTTTTGTAAACTGGCTTATTTAAGCAGTCAGTATAGTTGAAGATGAATATATTTGTTTCCTCATGGTCTGACTTCCTCAAAATTTGGGACACAAGCGTGTACTGATTTAGAAACAATTCTCCAATTTAGATTTTATAATCTAAATTTAAATTCTTTTATCAGCTGAGTTTTTCCATGTGGTAATTTTTTCTTATGTAAGTAGACTTCAGCACTTCTTTTTTTGATCTTTAAAAAGAAAGTAACGTAGCTTCAATTTTTTAAGTGTTAATCTTTAGCCATATTCAAATTATTCTGATACCATTAATGAATTTTTTCCCTTTTTTCTCCTCCCACTTGTCATGTAAAGCAGAGTTTTCTGAATTTTTTTTCTGGACTTCTGATGTGCAAATTTGTGTATGTTGCTCACTTTCTTAATATAAATACTTTTTTTTTCTTCCATCAACAGGCAAAGATACGGTTACCAAAGATAATGGAATCCGTCCTTCCTCAATGGAGCAGATGGGCAAGCTGAAGCCAGCTTTTGTCAAGCCGTATGGAACAGTCACAGCTGCCAACTCATCCTTCCTGGTAATGCATGTTACCATCACCGTGTGAGCTAGAAGGGAAAAATGTCTGTTTTACCCTCTGCCTCACATAGGTACCCAGATTAAGATGATATAATCTATTTAAATGAATTGGCTCGTTTGTGAGATCACCTGTTACAAGACTTTGCAAATGTAGCTTTGAACTGCGTTATCATCTAGTGAATTTGGGTGCTGGATGGATTGTTTCTATTTAAAATCCAAAACTAAACCCCTGAAGTTTTGCCGTGTTTTACCTGTTTGGGTTTTGGTGACTGCTTTTTGAAGAGCACAAAAGGGTTGACGTTCAAAGGCACATGTAGAAATTCTGTCCCAGGATGGGATTAATCATATTTTAAATCTAGAAGTTGGTAGTTTAAAGTGATGAGTGAACTCATCACTTTAAGGCTTACCCTGAAATCCAGAGGGCTGGGAGAGATTTCTTTAGCATATTTCTGACGAGCTCCGTTGTGTTCTGCGTGTCTCCCTTTCTCTAGTACCTTTAAAGGGAGCCTTTTAGATGCTGAAATCTAAAGTAGTTGCGTAAATTAGGCTGGGTGAATCTGAGCCCCAGTTCCTGTGACTCAGTAGAAGGCGGTTGCCACAGAAAGTCTCCCAAGCTCAAGAAGGCTTGAGGTTACAGTCTTGTTCTTGCATGTGGCCCTGATAGATTCTTGTACGTTTAAAAGGCAATGGTACACTCTGTAGTGAGTACTTCAAAGGAAGCAAGTAACTAATGCTGGGGCTCTTTCAGCTGCAATTACGCTTACTCTTTAGGGTTCCTGGGGACTTAGGAAAGGCTGATAATGCCATAATCTTGGTGGTGTTAGGAACTATTGAGTTAGTATGCTGTACACAGCAGATGTGTAGGCCACCTTAGGGATGTTATCCCAGTAATAAGTGACCGTGAGCCAAGGGCATCATGTTTGTTTTTGCAATGTGGTGAACCCATGACTTGTGTCATCCCAGAATTATATTCCAGTTTTGGAATGGAGCTGAACAGAGAGGTTAGCATTTGGGAAAACCAGCTTGTCCTTAGGGTTTGCAGGGCACCTCCGTCCTATTTGAAATGAGAAAGAGTTTGGGCATCTGGACTGTAGTGAGGTGCTTTAGCAGTGTGTGTACTAACATCATTCAAAGATCGGCTATCCACCTGCTTAGTCATGCAGACTTAATTCTTGTCCCATACCATAAGGCTTCTGGAGGAGAGAAATAATTCCTCGTGAAATTGTCCTCTTGTGTGAGGCCTGTGCCTGGTTATAGCTCTTTGGCAAACAGTTATTCATCAGAATGCAGCAGCCAAGTCCTCTCTGAACATCTTGGGATGCCATGGCAGATCCTGGAAGCTCTGGTTATGTTTGGGGTAATTTTTTGCCAGCTACTCTACAACAGAGTTGTCAGACTTGTTTTGTGTGCACAGCGTGATTGATCTTCAGGCAGTTACCTCACTGGGTTGGTTTATCTGCCTGTTTCAGACAGATGGTGCTTCGGCGATTCTGCTCATGTCCGAGGAGAAGGCTCTGGCCATGGGATACAAACCAAAGGCCTACCTAAGGTAAAAAGGGAGTGCTCTGCATGGCCTCTGAAATCTGCTCTTGCTTCCTTCCTCTCCTCTTTCTGTTACTAATAGCATTTTTTCTGTGCAGGGACTTTGTGTATGTGTCCCAGGATCCAAAGGACCAACTGCTACTTGGGTAGGTGACAATAATGAAGAGCATCCCCAAACAGCCTTGCTATTATGCATCCTAGAGAGGAGGAATGTAACGTGGCTCGCTGTGGAAAAGGGGGCGATACTGTGAGGAAACATGTTCATGTTTGACCTCTGTTTCTTAACTCTCCTTCAGCCCAACATATGCTACTTCCAAAGTGCTAGAGAAGACTGGTCTAACCATGGCTGATATTGATGCATTTGAATTTCACGAAGCTTTTGCTGTAAGTAACTCTGAAACTCTAAGGGCATGTAAAGCTGTAAAATACCGTTCTGTAGACTTCTGTTTTCATGTAGGTGAAAGCTCTTATTAACGCTTTCACTAAATGTAGAGCTACATATAGATACAAATGTAAAATTACATCTATATGTAATATGTAAGTACTTTATATATTTTAAGTATATAACTAACATTTTATAGGTTACCGTAATCTATGCTGAAGGTGACTTATGTTGCTTGAAGTCACCAATTGAGTGCAGATTCTTCTAAAACAACCTGGAAAAAAACTTCACCACGACCCTTGTATGGAAAAAAATCCCCACTTCTCAAGTCCTCTACTAATTGGGTTGGGGCTATGTATTACTATGGTGAGACGGAATGTTAATTTGACAGTGTATTTCTCAAGCTAGGTTTGAGCTAATATTGGGGTGATCCTGTAAAATGATTTTCTGCTGTTGGGTGTATTAGGTCTTTTGGCTGAAGCTAATCTCAAGATATCTCCTAGCAGTATGTAACTAGCACTGCCTGTAGGCTTTCCTGTCGTTATGTGGAGGACAAGAAGGTGATCAGGAGTAGTCAGCATGGATTCCCCAAAGGGAAATCATGCTTGACCAATCTGATAGCCTTCTATGACGGAATGACTGGCTGGGTAGATGAGGGCAGAGCAGTGGATGTTGTCTTTCTGGACTTCAGCAAGGCTTTTGACACTGTCTCCCATCACATCCTCCTAGGTAAGCTCAGGAAGTGTGGGCTAGA